TATAATCTCGACACGAGTGCCCTTTGGTCACAGGAAAGATGTGATTTTCAAGAAAGGCCAGGCATTTTCCCATATCACATTTTCTGATGAGATTGTCAATGGAGGAAAGTTGTATTTGTTTTCGAGACTATAAGTAGGCCTATTTTGTTAAAGTTAAATTTTTCCACGATATGAGTATAACTACGTTTCCGTTGAATTTCACATAGCTTTGCCTTTGCAAAAGACTATCAGTCTCCTTAGCACCTTAAACGAAAAAGTATGAATACACTTTTTATATATATGATCTATAAACGAAAAATGTGTAATGTAGTTGATTGCTATAGCAAATACAATTTGCTTTATTGACAATCCAACCACAGAATGTGATATGAGAAAATGCCGGACATTCCATGAAATTCACATCTGTCCTGTGACCCAACGGCGCTTGTGGCATTGAGGCACCAAAGTTCGAGTCCCGCTGGGGGTTTTAATAGGACCTGTTGGGCATCAAGGCTGAGCGAAATTGAATGAAAATTTCCGATCTACTCATCCAATTGTGGGAGAATTCAACTGCCAGTCCCTTTATCAGCTCGAACGAAATATGACCAACACACCTTGTGCATATCGGCTTTAATGATGGTGTTGATAACGAATCAAAAGGGAAAAAAAAAAAACACATGTACAAGACAAACGATTACTCTTTCGTCTCCATGTGTCGAGGGCCGTGACACAAGTGCCGGCAATTAAGCAGGTCAGGCGAGACCGACCGGTCGGACGTCCGTGCCTCCCGACCGACGGGGTTGGCCGACAGCCTCGGGGTTCGTGGACTTGACGACAGGTTCGTGGCCGGACAACAGGCCAGAGACGGCGTGGCCGAGAGCAGATGCGCCTCGACGGAGTGAGGATGCACAAAAGTGGACTTTGAAGGGTGTCCAGCCGCGAGTAGGTTTGTTGCCGTGGCCGGCGACGACGACGAGGATGAGGAGGAGGAACAGGAGGAGCAGGAGCAGGGCGAGCAGAGGGTGTTGTTGGTAGTGGTGGGGGCGGCGAGAGGTGTACCAAAACCGACCGCGATCCCGGAGCACCGACAACAGGACGGCGGACAACCGAGA